TGAGAAGAATATACCAAAGAGGGTAGGAGCAAAGACACATCCCTGTTTGACTCCACTCTTCACCACAAAGGGTTCAGTTGTATTGCCATCATAGTACACTGTTGCTTTCATATCTTCATGAAAAGATATTATGAGCTTAAGTAGAATTGGTGGACGGCCAATCTTAGTTAACACTTTGTACAATCCTGATCTATTGACTGTATCAAATGCCTTTGCTAAGTTCACAAATGCTTTAAACAACGGCTTTCCTTGCTCTCTGCATTTTTCTTGTAGTTGTTGAGGAGAAAAAATCATGTCCACTGTTGGCCTGCCAGCCCTGAAGCCACACTGTGTTTCTGGATAGACTTGATCTGCAAGTTTTTGCAGGCGATTAAAAATGATATGGGCAAATGCTTTACCTGTAATGCTTAGCAAAGAGATGCCTGTGTTGTAGTTACAGTCCCCCTTATCACCTTTGTTTTTATAGAGAGTAATGATGTTTGCGTCCCTCATCATGAGGGACTGCTCCCGCTCGCCAACATTTTATAAGTAAGTCATAGAGGAAGGGATGAGGACAGCCTTGTTAGCCTTCAGGACTTCAGCTGGAATCTCATCATTACCTGGTGCTTTTCCACTGGAGAGAGCATCAAGTACTTGGGAAAGCTCTTCTACCATAGGCTCTACATCAAGCTCTAACATTTCTGGAAGAGTTGGAATGAGGTTATCAAGTTCAGGATGTATTGTATGCTCATGAGAGTAAAGACTTGAGTAGTGTTCCACCCATCGGGACATCTGTTGGTTTTTATCTGTGATAACCTGTCCATTTAGATGTTTCAGTGGAGCAACTTTGGTAACGTTTAGTCCAAGTGCTTTCTTCAGTCCATCATACATGGTTTTCAGGTCGCCCATATCAAATGCTTTTTGAATTCCAGAACACAGATTGGCCCAATACTTGTTTGCACACTGCCTGGATTCTCTCTGAAGAACAAATCTTATATGGCGGAGCTGATCTCTTGATCTTTGCAATGGATTTTTTATGTTGTTCAGAAAAGCCTTGTTTTTTTCTTCAGGAAGAGGCCTGAGAATGTCAAAGTTTTCATCAATCCAGTCTTTGTTGGAAAATTTGTGTTCCAAAGGTAGATGTGGCACATTCATATATTGCAGCACTCAGCATGGATCATGTCTCATCAACAGACTGCTGGACAGGTTTGTCTTCCATTTTGTGAGTGAATTCTTCTGCAAAGACAGAGCATTTCAGTGCATTTCTAGTACTGAGAGTGTTAACCTTTGGTTTTCTGCAATCCTTTGACGTATGGAGTTTCTTTGGAGCAGTTTTCACTCTACTGATAATCAATGAGTGATCAGTGTCACAATCTGCACTGTGATACGCATGTGTAAATTTAACAGAGTTGAGATGTTTTCTGCGGACCAGTACAAGGTCGAGTTGATGCCAGTAACTGGATCTGGGGTGGCAACATGAGACCCTGTGACAGTCTTTTAAGTTGAAAAAAGTATTAGTGATGGAGAGATGATTCTGCGAACTGAATTCAAGAAGCCTTTGACCATTTTCATTCATTTTCCCAATGCCGTGATGTCCTAGCAAATGGGCTAGGACTGGTGATCGCGTCCCATTCTTGCATTAAAATCACCAAGGATGTACAGTTGTTTATCAGATGAACAGGAATCGACAACTTTCTGAAGATTACCACAGAATTGGTCCTTGTCTTCAGTGCACTACGTTAGTGTGGGTGCATAAGTACTTATGATGGTAACATAGCTTGACTTTGTGCTGAGCTTTAGGGATATAACGCGTTCTGATTCAGCTATGGGTGTATTGATAAAGTTCATCAGATTGTTTCAAACAGCAAAACCAACTCTGTAAAGACGGCGTTTCTCTGAACTCAAACCCTTCCAGAAGAAGGTGTAGTTGATTTCTTTTACTAATCCAGCATCTGCCAGTCTGGTCTCCTGGAGAGCAGCAATGTCAACATTCAACGTATGTAACTGTTGGTCTATGACTGCTGTTTTTCTTATTGAATCTGTGTTTGTAAGATCGTGATCAGGTTCAAATCCAGGACACATTGTCCACACATTCCAGCCACCATGCCAGAGGCAAGTTCGTTTATTGTATCGACTATAGTAGCTGTGTATAGTTGTGTGTGGGTAAGTGTCTCCTCCTGTGCACTGCATTGCCTGAGCTAGTGTTTGAGGAAAGTGTGTTGCCCAAGCAGCACTATCCTCCTCTCAGTCGCCCCAGTTAGATCTAAAGGAAAGACAAAAGCCAGTACGTTAGGAACTGGGGTGACTGCAGGAGATGCCGGAAAAGCAGATTGGATGAAACCTCACTGTTAACCGCCTTAGGGTCTCCACTCCGGATCATCTGTCTGGGTTTACTCCCATAGCCTTTGAATCTCCCAAATCTGCCCACAAGGCAGTGGGGAATTTTCCGTCAGGGATCTCTTCCCTGGGGTGACGTAAGGAGTCACCATCTCTTGGATGCTGGTGACCAATCATGGTTTATACGCCAATCGGATTATCCAAAGTAAACCAGGGACCCAAGTATCCCAGACCCTCAACCAGCAGAGTGAGGGGGTAGGGCAGCCTTATTTATTGGCAAGCTGCACTCACCATGTCACAACAGTGTAATCGGGCACTTGTGACTTTTAGTCAGAGCATCGGATACCACACAATGTCTCATCACATCCTGGTAATGTTGCCACTGCTGGTCCGCGACTGCATATTCACACGACAAAGCGAACTTATTTTGCAGCAAACCTCTGAAAAGAGGCCCCCTCCTATCCACCTCCAGGAGACGTGCCGGGTAGCATGCAGCTTGATATAAATAACAGCATCTTGGGAAGATTATATTCCTTGATATAAATAACAGCATCTTGGGACGAGCTTATAGTTATTCAAAACCATACATGAAATACACGATACTGATATTGTTTGTACTGTTAATCACTTTTTTAGTGTTGGCTAACACTGTGAACCTTGCAGACTTTCCCTAATCTGCTTTCATTGGTATTTTCAGGATGAGAGTTTTCAGCACCAAATGTAGCACAAACATCTAGAAGCTGGTGACTTTGAGTGTATTTCACTGTACTCTTGTGTAGTATGTAGAGCAAGAATCTTGCACAGGTTATAGCTGCTAACTACAGTTTTAGAGTAGTTAGATATTCATTGCCGCACCTCATTCGCATATCTTCTTGCACAAGAATGCGTAATGTAGACGTAGCCGATATGTCTTTTTGATCACAGCTGTAGTACAAATATGTTTTACTTGTAAGGGCTGTTTCACAGTTCATCTCTTTTCCACTAGCTAGCAATAAAGCAATTTATATTCTTAGTTAATGTCTCTCTTTTGTGAGAGCTCAGTTTTACCAATTTTTAGTATAATTCCATTCCCTCTACATTGAGCTATTCCTTCAGCATAAGCAATGCTAAAACTTTCCAAGCAGTGTGTTTCCATTTCACCTTTGGCCTCGCTGCAAAGCATTAGAATTTAATTTGGTCAATACAGCTACTTAAATAATAGTAGCTACTTATGTTTCTAAATTAGCTTTTACCGCTCAAGAAAGAGATTTTGGTTTTATCATGGACAGTTCTCTGAAAATATCCACTCAATGAGTGCAGTAAAACAAAAACAAAACAAAAAAACCCTAACAGAATATTAGGAACCATTTAGGGATATTAACAAGAGGCATAAGCTTATCCGGTAGCTGACTGGAGTATCAATTACTCGCTTCCCCCTCCTCTTGCTGTAAGAACATGAGCCAGTGCTGGGAAGAGCTGGCTTAAAAGCTGGTTCCCCCCAGCACTGGCTCCACAGTTCTGCCTCCATCCCTTCCCCCAACCCCTCCTTTATTAGAGACAGCGGGGAGGGATAGGGGAGGCCATTGCAAAGCAGCCTCTGCCCGCAGTGGGCTGAGGCTTGCTATGGGCAGAGGCTGCTCTGTCAGCAGCCCCTGTCCGCAGGGGTCCCAGTGGGGAATGGGCCTCCCCACAGACAAGGGCTACTGCTGCCAAGTTGCCCCTGTTCATGATGGCCCAGGCTGGCTGCGAACAGGGGATGATGCCGAAGCAGATTCTGTTCACAGCGGAAAGAATGGCCCCCACAATCAGGGGCTGCTGGACTCTGCATCAGTCCGGACCCAGCAGTTCCAGCTCACGCTGGTCCAGGACGCTGCACCTCTCTTACTACATTTAAAATGCAGAGCCATAACACAGGGGCTCCTTGAGCCGGCTTCTGGAGCTACCCCTGCTGCAGCTCTGCAGAGCAGTCCTTATAAACTAATTGTACAGTCGATACAAATTGTATCGACTACACGATTAGTCAGATAACCGCAATTTGACATCCTAGAAGCATTAGGAAAAGGGATAGAAAATAAGAGTAAATATCATAATGCCTTTATAGAAATCTATATTATGCCCACACCTTGAATACTGTGTGCATGTCTGGTTGGCCCATCATAAAAAAGATAGACTAGGAAAAGGTACAGAGAATGGCAACAGAAATGATTAAAAGTATGCAACAGCTTCCTTTTGAGGAGACATTTTAAAAGACAGACTATTCAGCTTGTAAAAGAAATAACTAAAGGGAGGGAATATAACATCATGAATGTTCTGGAGAAAGTGAAAAGAACTCTTTCTTCCTTCCTATAACACATTACTACCTGTTCTTGTAATAGAATTAATAGCAAATTTAAAACAAACAAAAAGCCAAAATTATAACTGGATACAAAAAAGAATTAGATAAATTCATGGAGGACAGATCAATAAGTAGCTATAAGGCGAGGTGGTAAGGGATGCAGCTCCGTGCTTTGAGTTGTCCCTAGCCTCTGACTGCCAGAAGCTGTGAGTATATAACAAGGCATGGATCAATCAATAATTGCCCTGTTCCTTCCCACCAAGGTGCTGTTAGAAGTGCCCATCTGGACGAGGGGCTTGATAGACCATTGGTCTGACCTAGTATGCCTGTTCTTTCCTAGTATGTTTCAGTATGACTCATTATTTTTCAGTACCGATTGTAAAGCAAACTTGGGAAAGTGAGGCTGCCCTTGTTGAATACTACAGTGATTATGCAGAGACCTCCATTCCTACTATAGATTTAGGAGTACCTAATACTGAAAGAGGTAAGCTTCTAATATTATCCTTGTAGAAAATTTCATTGTATGAGTATGATAAGTTTGCAAGGTGAGGTGTCTATTCAGCGTGTAGTAAGTTATGCTGAAGTGTTAAATTTTTCTCACATAGTACCTGGAGATAAAATAAACTAATTCTTCCTCCTAACCCCACAAAACAAGAGACGGGGGAGAGTACAGGGTTTTTTTGGTCAGAATTATTTTCTTATGATTTGGTGCCTAGCTACTATGGACGTGGACACAGTAAAAATCCCCGAATGGCATTTTCTGCCCACTGAAGGTATCCTTCTGCCATCATTAGTCTATTAATCTTGTGATGACGGAGGTTACAGTAGCAATGTCACAGTGCTACATTCATGTGGATGGTTGTCAATCTGCTGAAATGAATCCTGCCATCACTATTCTAACAATCTTATCATGAATAAGGTTGTTACAGTAGCAGCGTCAGTGATACATTCCAACAGAAGATCTTATATCAATCATACCAACTGGTTGCTGTAGCAAGAAGTACTTCAAAAAGATGGTTTCAAAGTAATATGTGCCTACATCTACAGCTTGGAACTCCCTGATCCGACACCACTGGGACTTGACCAGTCCCAGAAAAGGTAGTTTGCCAGAACAGGGTAGGTCTGGGATGGGGAGCACCAGTCTCCCCCCTGGGCTCCTCCGCCCAGCTATCTGGCACCACTGCCTCCAACCCCCTGACTGTGGCAGCCTTGTGAGTTCCGGCAGCCCTGCCAGCTTTGCTGCCTCACGCCAGATTTGCTGCCTCACAAGCACCAGCGGCCCTGCTAGCCTTGTGGCCCCAGGACCTCCAACAGATCTGCTGGCCTTGCAGCCCTACAAGCCCCGGCAGCCTTGCAGCCTTCAGGCTCTGGTGCTTCATGGGCTCCACTGGCCTACTGGCCAACTCCACTCCCAGCTGCCAGCAACCTTTGCTACTGGGGTGCTCTAATCCTGCAACATCCGTGATCTGTCCAAACCGTGAATGTTGCCAGACCAGAGAGTCCCAGACCATAGAGGTTCATCCTATATTATGTTTGCATTTTTAAACATTGAAACTAACTGGAAATACCAAACAGTATTTTCCTTGAACATGTAGCATAGTGGTTTAAAATAATAATTTAGGGTGCCTTTGGGTAGAAAAAACAGTCTTCAAAACTATGACTTCAGTGATTTGTTCATTCTCAATGTCTTGCCTTCTTTCACAGACTTCTCTTGGTGTATTTCTCTTCAGTGAGTATCATAAAACTGGAAACAATGGCTGTAAATCCATTTTTATTGTGTTAGTAGATTCAAAAATAAGTAAAGAAGAATAGATGTTCTCAGTTCCAGGAGGAAAGAAAAGCAAAGTTTTTTGACCAAAAATATTCTTCAGTTTGTCAGAAAATATTTTCATTGGAAAAAATCCCAATTATACTACCTCAGTCTTATTTGTTTATTACAAGATGCACTAATAGTGTTTTAAATGTTTCTGAAATGCTTTAGGAATCTCTCTTGAACACAGGAGATTTTAATGAGTGTTAATGATTGATACTTCGATCTTTCTGAAAGACATTTTTAGCATTAACTAAGCTTGAATGACACTTTATATCTCTTTCCATTTTTATTTTACTCAGGGTCATCTTCACCTACCTGCTACAAAACATTGCTTTGTTATTAAGTTCTAAAGTCTTTGTTCTGCAGATGCTTTCAGGAGTCATGATTTATCCTGAATTAATGCCTTTATATTTGATTATTCCATTGGTTGGTTGTGTCTACTCAAGTGGTTTTTTTAAAATCGAATTATCTCCTGACCTCTGATGCATTGCAAAGTTTCATTTATAGGTATGAATAATACTTGTATATGATATTTCATCGATAGATATCAAAGTACTTTGCAAAGGAAATAACACACCTTTGGTTGTCCAGCAGGCTAGTGGTAGCCCAGAGAATATAACCCAAGTCTCTGCGGTCAGAGTTTAGGGCTCTGCCCACTAGGCCACGTTGCATTATTTGAAATTTGGATCTTCAGCTTCTTTCCCAATTTGTCATTGTTTGCAAATAATATTTCAACACTTCAATTTACAAAAACTGTGCACATGCACACATACACACCCTGAAAAACAGTGTATGTTCTCTTTCTTATTCCTCTCCCTTTTAGGTCATTGTGGGAAGACTTTTGCCATTTTGGAAAGATTTTTGAATAGTAACGCTTCGAAAACACCATGGTTAGTCATTGTTGATGATGACACCTTAATAAGGTATGAATTATAATACAGTAAAAGCTTTGTTATCCAGCACTCATGGGGAATGCTAGTTGCCAGTTAATTCAGTGTGCTGGATACTCAAGCAAAGAGTTAGGTAGCTCAAGGCAGGCTTGGGGGGGGGGGCAGTTGTCTGCTGATGACATCATCCAGCAGTGCTGTAGGCAGACTGAGGGGAAGGAGGCACCTGCTGATGACATCAGCCTGCAATGCTGGCTAACAAAATGTTCTAGTTAACAAAGTGCTGGATAACAAAACGTTCACTATTTTTCAGAAATGTTTTAATTTGCATTAATAAGAGTTTCAGAAATATTAATTTGGATTTATACACCAGTAGATAGGAACACTATCTTTGCTACATATATTCCTGGAGTCCTTTTAAAAATAGCTTACTTTTATAAAACCCTTTATAACAAATAATTGGTACACATAATAATCTAGCAACCTACATTGAATATCAGAGGGGTAGCCGTGTTAGTCTGAATCTGCAAAAGCGACGAAGAGTCCTGTGGCACCTTATAGACTAACTGAAGTGTAGGAGCATAAGCTTTCGTGGGCAAAGACCCACTTCGTCAGATGCATGTAGTGGAAATTTCCAGAGGCAGGAATAAATATGCAGGCCAGGATCAGGCTGGAGATGACAAGGTGGATCCAATCAAGGAGGATGAGGCCCACTTCTAGCAGCTGATCTGGAGGTGTGAATTCCAAGAGAATAGAAGCTGCTTTTGTAGTTAGCAAGCCATTCACAGTCTTTGTTTAATCCAGAGTTGATTGTGTCAAACTTAAAGATGAACTGTAGCTCAGCAGTTTCTCTTTGAAGTCTGGTCCTGAAGTTTTTTTGCTGCAGGATAGCTACTTTTAGATCTGCAATTGTGTGTCCAGGAAGATTGAAGTGTTCCCCTACAGGTTTTTGTATGTTGCCATTCCTAATATCAGATTTGTGTCCATTGATTCTTTTACGTAGGGACTGTCCTGTTTGGCCGATGTATATAGCAGTGGGGCATTGTTGGCACATGATGGCATATATTACGTTGGTGGATGTGCAGGAGAATGTACCAGTGACAGTATGGCTGATCTGGTTAGGTCCTGTGATGGTGTTGCTGGTGTATATATGTGGGCAGAGTTGGCACCGAGGTTTGTTGCAAGGATTGGTTCCTGAGTTCGAGTTATTATGGTGCGGTGTGTAGTTGCTGGTGAGAATATGCTTCAGGTTGGCGGGTTGTCTGTGGGCAAGGACCGGCCTACCTCCCAAGGCCTGTGAGAGCGAGGGATCATTGTCCAGGATGGGCTGAAGATCACTAATGATGCGTTGGAGAGGTTTTAGCTGGGGACTATAGGTGATGGCCAGTGGTGTTCTGTTGGTTTCTTTCTTGGGCTTGTCCCGTAGCAGGAGGCTTCTGGGTACACGTCTGGCTCTGTCAATCTGTCTCCTCACTTCCTCGTGTGGGTATCGCAGTTTACAGAATGCTTGTTGAAGGTCTTGTAGGTGTAGGTCTCTGTCTGAGGGGTTTGTTTACTTTCTCTTTCAGAATGGATTACTAAAGTATATTTTGTTACTGGTTTCCAAGAAAAAGTAAATTGGTAATTTAAACAGTCATGCAGAAGAATTCTTATTCACTACTTTACATTCAACTTATTGTGAAGGGGAGTTGGTGTTGCAGAACTCATAGAATAATGATGATCCTACAGTGACAAATAAATAAATTAGTGCTATTGGGAATTCCCTGCTTTGTGAGAGAGTTCCAATTTGTCAAACCCAGAATGTTTTGGAGAAACAGCTGGGGTTCAACAGCCTATTGTTGAATCAGAAGCAGGCTTCTATCAGAACCCTGTCTGGTTTCTTCAAGAGCCTAGGCCTCTAGGATCTGTGGACTGCCTCACAGCCAAGAACTCCAGGATTTGTAGTTTGAGGGAGCCCTTCCTTTCAACCAGCTCCAAAAAATCAAATGCTTCCAGGATCTTCAGCCTATGGAGCTATCCCACCATGTCTCAGGGCTCCCAGGATGCTATGAAGCTTGGCACCTAGAAGTCCTGGGACTTAGTGCCTAACAGGGTTTGGTTCCCAACTTGATAGAAGGAGCTTCAGGTTCTCAGGGCTTCCAGGTTCAGTACCATGGAGTCAGGAGCCTGGAAGTCCTGGTATGGGCTACCCAGTGTTCAGGGAGCCAACTGGACCAGGAGTCTGAGTCTGCATGCCAGGGCTGCCCAGGAGCTACAGATCCTGGAAGGCCAAACCAGTTTTACCTCTCCTGTTAAGTGGTGGGTAGTAGTGAAACTGACACATCAGTTTCACTCACCAGTTGCCTAAAGCATTCTGAGGAAGCACTCTTTTTTTAAAAAAAGAAACACCATGTCTTCAAATAATTCTTTTAACTCACACATGTGATTCTGAAATTAGACTCAAATCAGATTTCAAAGTTGTCAAAAATTCCCCTGAATCCAAAACTTTTGGACAGTTCATGCCTAATTAAAAGAAGCTTAGCAAGTAGCAGGTTTCATGTGCTCATGCCTTTCCAAAAAAGAAATCCAGGACAAGTTTGAATCAATTAAGAAACATACTCCACAAGTTATGATGAAAACTGGATTTGATACATCTGGTAGAAAATTGGATCAGCATGTTGAAAGATGGTGAATCTGAGACAGCTGGCACTTTTTGAGATGGAAATAAACTTACATTACTTCTGTGACATTGAAATATAAGAGAACAGAACAAAGTAATCAGATATCAGCATTGTGTGCCCCTAGGAAAACATGAGGAAAAATGGGTCAGGATTATAACAACATTCTTAAGCTTAAATCATATAAGAAAAAAGGAATTTGCAAAGGGCCCACTGTAGATACTAATAGAAATGTAGCCGTGTTAGTCTGGTATAGCTGAAACAAAATACAGGACTATGTAGCACTTTAAAGACTAACAAGATGGTTTATTAGATGATGAGCTTTCGTGGGCCAGACCATATATATGGTTGTGACTATTTTCTTCCACTATTTGATCTGAGGAAGTGGGTCCGGCCCACGAAAGCTCATCATCTAATAAACCATCTTGTTAGTCTTTAAAGTGCTACATAGTCCTGTATTTTGTTATAGATACTAAAAGTTTGTTAGTTGATTTTTCCCAGCTACCATACAAGGAAAATGAGACATTCTACAGACTCTGTAAGAAAGAGAAATATTTGGATTATAAAAATAACAAGATTGTTATAACCTAGTGATGAGAATTGAAAACCAGAAAAATTAAGTTTGCTATAACCCAGATAAGAATCAATTGAGTATTAAGAATTGATTTATTTTTTGATACCCTGGTAAACTGCAGATTACATGTAAAAAATAATTTTATCCTTCCCATTGCAAACAGATTAAACTGAAAAAATGTAAAAAAAGATAGCTAGTGTTTCATTGTACCAATTTATGTGAATCTTAGATTGCACAATAAAGATGATTTTTTAGCCCACTTACATTGCAAAGGAACCAGTTTCATGGAACCTACCATCATCTGTCTTCTAATAATTTATCATCAAATTTTCCATACTATATCACAAAAAATGATGCTTATTACTTTGGAGGGCACTATAAAAATTACATAATTCCTCATTCCTTTTGGATGAACAAAAGGAAGAAAGGAAATTCAAAAGCTGAAGAGATTAATTATTGCTAATTGATAGCTATTGAAACCTTAATTCTATATGGCATAATTACACTATAATCAATGAAGCTATTATTCAAGGACCGAGTTAATGTTTTGGGGAGGATATAATGGCTGACTATGAAATAAGAATTTTTAAAAATGTTCCAGTGTGCGATCTGTCTTGATCATAAATCATTTGACAAGAGAGAAACTCTACTCAGGTTTAGAGAATGAATAATTCAGTTACAAAATCTAGACGTAGTTATTCTGCTTGAATAGCAATTTTGAAATTATTTATTAATCATAGAATCATAGAATAATAGGACTGGAAGGGACCTCGAGAGGTCATCGAGTCCAGCCCCCCACCCTCAAGGCAGGATCAAGCTCCGTCTACACCATCCCTGACAGATGTCTATCTAACCTGTTCTTAAATATCTCCAGAGAGGGAGATTCCACCACCTCCCTTGGCAATTTATTCCAATATTTGACCACCCTGACAGTTAGGAATTTTTTCCTAATGTCCAATCTAAACCTCCCCTGCTGCACTTTAAGCCCATTACTCCATGTCCTGTCCTCAGAAACCAAGAGGAACAAATTTTCACCTTCCTCCTTGTGACACCCTTTTAGATATTTGAAAACCACTATCATGTCCCCCCTTAATCTTCTTTTTTCCAAACTAAACAAGCCCAGTTCATGAAGCCTGGCTTCATAGGCTTCTCTAGACCTTTAATCATTCTTGTCACTCTTCTCTGTACCCTTTCCAATTTCTCCACATCTTTCTTGAAATGTGGCGCCCAGAACTGGACACAGTACTCCAGCTGAGGCCTAACTAGTGCAGAATAGAGCGGCAGAATGACTTCACGAGTTTTGCTTACAACACACCTGTTGATACAACCTAGAATCATATTTGCTTTTTTGGCAACAGCATCACACTGTTGACTCATATTCAACTTGTGGTCCACTATGACCCCTAGATCCCTTTCCGCCATGCTCCTTCCTAGACAGTCGCTTCCCATCTTGTATGTATGGAACTGATTGTTCCTTCCTAAGTGGAGCACTCTGCATTTCTCCTTATTAAACCTCATCCTGTTTACCTCTGACCATTTCTCTAACTTGCTAAGGTCATTTTGAATTATGTCCCTATCCTCCAAAGAAGTTGCAACCCCACCCAGTTTGGTATCATCTGCAAACTTAATAAGAGTACTCTCTATCCCAATATCTACATCATTGATGAAGATATTGAACAGTACGGGTCCCAAAACAGACCCTTGAGGAACTCCACTTGTTATCCCTTTCCAGCAGGATTTAGAACCGTTAACAACAACTCTCTGACTACGGTTATCCAGCCAATTATGCACCCACCTTATCGTGGCCCTATCTAAGTTATATTTGCCTAGTTTATCAATAAGAATATCATGCGAGACCGTATCAAATGCCTTACTAAAGTCTAGGTATATGACATCCACCGCTTCTCCCTTATCCACAAGGCTCGTTATCCTATCAAAGAAAGCTATCAGATTAGTTTGGCATGACTTGTTCTTCACAAACCCATGCTGGCTATTCCCTATCACTTTATTACCTTCCAAGTGTTTGCATATGATTTCCTTAATTACCTGCTCCATTATCTTCCCTGGGACAGACGTTAAACTGACCGGTCTATAATTTCCTGGGTTGTTCTTATTCCCCTTTTTATAGATGGGCACAATATTTGCCCTTTTCCAGTCTTCTGGAATCTCCCCTGTCTGCCATGATTTTTCAAAGATCATAGCTAAAGGCTCAGATACCTCCTCTATCAGCTCCTTGAGTATCCTGGGATGCATTTCATCAGGACCTGGTGACTTGCTGACATCTAACTTTCCTAAGTGATTTTTAACTTGTTCTTTGTGTATCCTATCTTCTAAACTTACCCTCTCTCTGCTTGTATTCACTACGTTAGGCACACCTCCAGACTTCTCGGTGAAGACCGAAACAAAGAAGTCATTGAGCATCTCCGCCATTTCCAAGTTTCCTGTTACTGCTTCTCCCTCCTCACTGAGCAGTGGGCCTACCCTGTCCTTGGTCTTCCTCTTGCTTTTAATGTATTTATAAAAGGTCTTCTTGTTTCCCTTTATGCCTGTAGCTAGTTTGATCTCATTTTGTGCCTTTGCCTTTCTAATCTTGCCCCTGCATTCCTGTGTTGCTTGCCTATATTCATCCTTTGTTATTTGTCCTAGTTTCCATTTTTTATATGAGTCCTTTTTTATTTTGAGATCATGCAAGATCTCCTTGTTAAGCCAAGCTGGTCTTTTGCCATATTTTCTATCTTTCCTACACAGCGGAATTGTTTGCTTTTGGGCCCTTAACAACGTCCCTTTGAAATACTTCCAACTCTCCTCAGTTGTTTTTCCCTTCAGTCTTGCTTCCCATGGGACCTTACCTACAAGTTCTCTGAGCTTATCAAAATCTGCCTTCCTGAAATCCATTACCTCAATTGTGCTGGTCTCCCTTCTACCTTTCCTTAAGATCATGAACTCTATTATTATTATTATTTATTAAGTTATTAAATGTCTCTCTTTAAGTGCTTTCTAGAATACATCAAAGCCAGTTTTAAGAGATAAAGGAGTAGTGCAAAAATGTAAAAATATTTCGTATAAAGTATGGAAATAGGAGCTATTAAAGGAATGAAGTAGAGGTGTAAAAAGAAGAATAGATACCTGTATGCACAACTAGGACTTTATTCCATATGTATGGTATAATGTACTATTAAACAATGAATAATCTTATCCTAATCCCCTATTTATGTGTCTGTCTGTCTGTCTGCCATGATTCCTGTCCATATCTTGTGATTGAACTACAGCAGTGGTTCTCATCCAGGGGTATGCATACTCCTTAATGTACACAGAGGTCTTCTAAGGCAATGGTTTTCAAAGTTGGATTGTGGGCACACCTGAGTAAGCCACTAGGGGGTCAGAACACTTTGTTTACCGAGTGTCTGTAGCCACGGAGCTTCGCAGCTCCCATTGGCTATGGTTCACCATTTCCAGCCAAGGGGACACTTACATCTCTGTGACACTTTCGTATTTCTGTGTCTGATTTTGCAAGCAAGTAACTTTTAAGTGGGGGAAAACTTGGGGTGCACAAGACAAATCAGTCTCTTGAAAGGGGTAGTCTAGATAGATTGAGAACCATTGCACTAGAATACTTTCCCCCCTATTTTTCTTAGTCTAGGTTGAAAAATCACTTTAGAGTAGCATGAAGAGTCCCAAACGAGGAATGTCTTTGGATCCTGATCCTATTTGAGACTCTTGTTATTACTGTCATATAAATAACAAAACAGATAAGGCCAATCCTGGTACAGATCACTGCAGTATTCTGTTAGCCTTTTAGTCATTGAAAATTCTGCCCCTTTGGCCTTTTTTAGCATAGACTGGAATAATCTAAGTACTTTAAAATTGAAGATTCATTGTTGCTGAGGAACATATTTGTTTCTTTTGAGAAAAGTTTCATGATCTAGTTAACCATTTGAAGTATTATGAATTATTTATTCAACGGAAATGGCCTAACTATCTTTAAACTCCCATTACAGGTTGCACCCCTATAAACTGGAACTCTCTAGTCCAGCAACAAGCGTGGGCCAGAGAGTCGTAGTGTGCTGTAGGAGGTGGGGGGCTGGAAGCCCGGCACAATGCAGGGAGGGTGACATGTAGCCCAGCTCATAGCTCAGCTGGGCTCCGGGAGGGGAGCCTGGAGCCAGTGCGTGGCTCAGCTGGGCTGTGGGCAAGGGGTGGGAGCTGACTCACATCTCAGCTGGGCTAGGGGGGCAGTGGCTTAGCTGGGTTGCAGGGCAGCCAGGAAGCCAGGGGTGAGGAAGGGCAGGTGGTGGGTCTGGCAGCAGGGGGGCCATAAATGACCTTCTCTGGTCTGGCAAAATCCCTCATCTGGGGATTAAGAGCTGAGCTCTAAATTAAAGTAAATTGTCATGGGATGAAAGGGAAGGTCCTTTCATGAATTGATAACTGGTTCAAAGATAGGACGCAAAGGTTAGGAATAAATGGTAAGTGTTCAGAGTAGAGAGGTGTAACTAGTGAGGTCCCCCAAGGGTCTGTACTGGGACCAATGCTATTCAGCCTATTTATAGATGATCTGGAAAAATGCGTAAACAGTGAGGTGGCAAAATTTGCAGATGATTCTAAACTCCTCAAGGTAGTTAAGACCAAAGCAGATTGTGAAGAGCTTCAAATAGATCTCAACAAAATGGCAAATGAAATGTAATGTTGATAAATGTATTTTTTTTCCAATGCACATTGGAAAAAATAATCCCAACTATACATATGACATGATGGGGACTAATTTGCTACATCTACTCAAGAGAGAGATTGTGGAGTCATTGTGGATAGTTCTCTGAAAACATACTCAGTGCGCAGCAGCAGTGAAAAAAGCAAATAGAATGTTAGGAGTCATTAAAAAAGAGATAGAGAATAAGACAGAAAGTACCTTATTGCCTCTGTATAAAACCATGGTACACCCACATCTTGAATACTGCGTACAGATGTGGTCACCTCATCTGAAAAAATATATATTGGCATTGGAAAAGGTTCAGTAAAGGGCAACAAAAATGATTAGGAGTTTTGAACGGGTCCCATATGAAGAGAGATTAAAAAAAGTGGACTTTTCAGCTTAGAAAAGAGGAGACTAAGGGGGGATATGATAGAGGTCTATAAAATCATGACTGGTGTGGAAAAAGTAAATAAGGAAAAGTTATTTACTTATTCCCATAATATAAGAACTAGGGGTCACCAAATGAAATTAATAGGTAGTAGATTTAAAACAAATAATATTTTTCTTCACGCAACACACAGTCAACCTGTGGAACTCCTTGCCAGAGGATGTTGTGAAGACTAGGACTTTAACAGGGTTCAAAAAAGAGCTAGACATATTCATGGAGGTTAGGTCCATCAGTGGCTATTAGCCAGGATGAGTAGGAATTATGTTATTAGTATCTGTTTGTCTGGAATGGATGACAGGAGTGGGATCACATGATGACCTGTTGCAGTCACTCCCTCTGGGACATCTGACATTGGCCACTGTCGGCAAACAAGATATTGGGGTAGATGGACCTTTAGATATCAATTTGGTGTGATCCAGTATGGCTGTTCTTATGGGACCAGTCAGGTCCCGAGGGTGCCAGACCAGGGAGGTTCAGTCTGTACTGTGTTCAGATTATCTAACTGTTTTTCTTGGAATTCCCACAACTGATTTTTATGTGTTTATTCTGTTCCAAAATGCCTTCTAAGTGTCAATTTAAGGATTTTGAACTTATTTTAAAAGAATTAAATGTTTACCTCTGATTTAATGTATTTTAATTAAATTGACTCTCTCATTTTAGTGTATATAGGCTCCGGAAATTACTCAGCTGCTATGACCCTAATGAACCAGTGTTTCTTGGAGAGCGTTATGGCTACGGACTAGGAACAGGAGGATACAGTTATATCACTGGCGGAGGAGGGTAACTTACTTTATTTGAAATCCTACTGAGAGGTAAACCAGTCACTCTTCCAATGCAAACATTTTGGACTATTATAGCTCAGACAAAGGTGACAAAAATAATGTGGTTTTATCAGATGATATGAAGTAGTAGCAGTAAGAGGAAGGGTCCTTTGAGCACAGTTATTGCCTTTGTGAGAGAGTATCCCTCTCACTCTGTCTAGGATGTTAGTGAAAGTGATTGTTCCCCTTTTAGTTTTAGGGTTGGTACCAATGGAAGATCATTCCTCATGTAGAGAGACCATTGCACATAGCTCGTCCAGGAGGGATTTGGTGAATAATTTGGGTTTCAGATTCATATATCCATGATCCTCTAGGCAGATGTAAATAACATAAGTGAGACCCATCTCTTATGGTTCTGATCTGTCAGTCTATTTTGTTGCATAGTTGTTGATCCATTATGCAATTTAAATGTGTTAAAATCTAAATTATTCAGTCCCATGCTCTGTAAAATGCTGTTCTCCAGGAAAAAATAAATATTATATTAACTCAGTAGACTGTTCATGAATCCATAAATAAAGAAGACCAATTAGCTGGTGTTTTCATTATCTTGCATAGTCTGGGCCATCGTTCTTAATTATGTAAAGTTTACTCCTTTCCTAATAAATCAATTTTTGATTCTGGAATGCTTGCCATTAACAATAGATCTTTTAAAATATTTTCTATTGTTTGTATCTTTGAGATGCATCAAAGCTTTCTGATATTCAGGTCTGTGAAGATATGTATATACGATATCAATCCTCTTTCATATCCCTGTTTATTGTTCAGGAAATTTATTGGGAAGATAGTCTGTCAAATTAAAGATCTTGTAATCACTTTGCGGCTGCATCTAGACTGGCAAGTTTTTCCGCAAAAGCACCTGCTTTTGCGGAAAAACTTGCCAGTTGTCTACACTGGCCGCCTGAATTTGCACAAGAACATTGACGATCTGATGTAAGATTGTCAGTGTTCTTGCGCAAATACTATGCTGCTCCCGTTTGGGGAAAAAGCCTTCTTGCGCAAATGTATTTGCATAAGAGGGCCAGTGTAGACAGCTGAAAACTGTTTTGCTCAAAAAAGCCCTGATGGCGAAAATGGCGATCAGGGCTTTCTTGCGCAAAACCACGTCTAGATTGGCACGGACGCTTTTCCGCAAAAAGTGCTTTTGCGCAAAAGCATCCATGCCAATCTAGACGCTCTTTTTCCGCAAATGCTTTTAACGGAAAAACTTTTCCGTTAAAAGCATGAATGGAAAATCATGCAAGTCTAGACGTAGTCTGCCTGTGCCATTTTTGTTATCAAATAGAGGGTTTTTAAGTTTGCTAACTTTGTGCTTTTTACTTTGTTCTTCTATGACAACTTTTCAACAGAAACACATGCTCTTCCAGTCAGAAGACATGGTTATTATTGCTCCCTTTGATCACGATTCTATTGTGCTTGCCCTCTATTCTTTTTCCTGGCAGATTGACCTTAAATTGGCACTGCTGGTTCTAAACCCCGTAACTGCCTTGATCAAATTTTATTCCTTGAATTTTGCGTTGGATGCATCTGAGTCTACATCTGCCATTTAAGAATTCTATTATACTGAGTGAACTCAAGCAGATATTTTTTGCCCAAAAAAAAAAAATAAAGGAAGAAGAAAATATCTTGTGGAGAGTAATTATCACTTTAAACAGCTAGATTGCCATATACAGTGATAGAACTGGATGGAGTTACAGACACTGCTGCAGAGAAGGGAGAGCCATAGAATGTGAAGCAAGAAAGTATGTCCTCAGCTGCAGAGCTCTGGATCATCATGAGACTTCTGTGGAGCAGCCACTATCAGAGGCTTGTTTTACTGGTAGAGACCTGAAGGTATCCATGCTGCAGATGATATTTAAATGCAAGTCCTAGGGAGCCAAGCTGAACTGTGAAGCTTTGCAGCACATTTTAAGATATTATTCTGTTCCTGTTGATAGCTCTAATACCAGACTGTGATACTAACATGTTACCAGGAAAAATAGCAATTCAGATTTAAAGTTCCCCTTATTTTTTAATATTGCTATATTCTAATTATCTAAATGAACAAAATAATACAAAATATTTTTACCAAACCATACAAGAAGCATATCCAAGTGAAACTCACAAGAAAATCATGTGTAAACAGATAGACATTTTTGTCAAGAGTAACATTTTCACAATATAAATATTTCATAAAATATGTTTTATAATTGCATTTTTATTAGTTTGAGGAGGGAAAAAGATTATTATGCAGTTCCTATGAAAATATAGATCAGTTTCAAACACAGGACTAAATTATGTAACTATAGGTTTTCTGAATACTGTATGTTCTATGTATATTCTCCATTCCACCAGAGTTCTTCCCTAATACTACATCAAGAATAAAAGGTGATGAGGTAAGGGAAAGGGAAAGATCACTACCAAGTAAAGTGTTGAGTAATTAAGATTTTCTATTATTAAATAAATCACATGATAATTTAATCTCACTATCTAAAGAAACTATGTCTCAGAAAAATCCTCATCAGGAATTCAAACCTGAATGCTATCGTCTCACATCTTTCAGTTTCCTAAATATAGTGCAGCAGTGGACTACATAAATTCCATGTTGTGATTTTGTTCCATTGAGCAAGATTTATTAAATGAAAATTATTTACAGTTATTTAACTATATTAGTAATGAGTATCTCATACTTTCTGTTTGCATTCATCGTTTAGGATGGTTTTCAGCAGAGAAGCAATCCAAAAATTACTTGCCAGTAAATGCCAATGTTACAGCAATGATGCTCCAGATGATATGGTCCTTGGAATGTGTTTCAGTGGTTTAGGAATCCCCATAACACACAGTCCACTTTTCCATCAGGTGAGAGAGACATTTTTATAAGTATTGAAAATTGGTAATTATTTAATTTATTCATTAATTTAAAGTGCACCCAACTCCTTAAAATCCCATACAAATTGGACCATACCAATAATTATAAGCTGTCCTAATCTCAGCCATTCGAACTCCAAAACCCACTATTTATTCCTTCCAACCAGAGAGCTTGGTAAAACAGATACGTAGATTTTTTAAAATGTAAAGTTGAGAATAACCATTTTAATAGTGCTACAGAGGTGTCTCTGTCTCCTCCCCCAGCAATGACAAGGATTTAGGACTAAATTTAATTACTTAGACACTTAGTGGGATTTTCAAAAATGGTGAAATGCCTAAATCTGATTGGAAGTGCTTTTGAAAATACTATTTTGTATCTATTTGCTTCTTTAAGCATCTGAATACCTTTAAAATCTGGCCCTTAAATTCTGCAGTGATCAATTCTATAGGATTCCCCCCATACATTAATATTTACAGACTTTAATAGTAATTTGATGCTGTCTATATTAAAGTCATAAAAGTTGAGTAAGTGGAGAAGCAAAGATTGTTTCCATTAGCAGAGAACTGTAAAAGGCAGCAGGCACAAGAGCAGGCAAAAGTATAAGGGGGAGGGGAGAGGCCATTGGTATGAAGAAAGGAGAAATACTGTTTATATGCATCCAAAATGTACATATTTTGGAAAGTTTTTGAGGTGAGTGTACCCAAGATTCCCATCTGATTCATAGGCTGAAAATCCCCAGAAAATGTAGTTCCTTGCTTTACCATCAGTGCACTTAAGCATTTTTCAGTTTATTTAATTTATAAAAATTCACAAAATTGAAATCCATCCTCATTTGTTAAATTCCTTTATATCCCCTTTCTTCACCTTTAGTTTATAAACCTATCAGATAATGTTATAACTTCCAGAAGTCTTAAATCAAACAAATTCAAAAATTTACAATGCATTTTAAGACAGCTAGCCTCCTGCACATTTTGTCTACTTTCATCATGACAGCTCAGTTAATGTTTTTTGATTCCTTATAGATCTGTGATATGACTTCTTGCAAGGAAATTAATCATTTTAGATTAATACATGCCAATAAATATGGGAAAATAACTTTTTCCATCCTCTGACATTTGATTTCCTAATGCTATAAGAAGCAATATCAAATGACTGTCATTTTTATTTCCTAAAATTAATTATTACGTGTACTATATTTTTGAAATAAGGTATAAATATCTATATAGAGGGGCAGATTGTGAGTTATTCTGTATGCAAGTGAAAGGGAGTAAGGAGGCAGAAAGAGTAAGGAGTGCACTTTCTCTCTTTGTGCAAGCGTGCTGTGCCACTGATTGCTGCACATGTGGGTAAACAGTCTCCACAGAGCTGCAGCATCCTCCCCTTGCACAGATGGATGTAGTAGCTGTGGAACCTTGTCTCAGCCCCTCAGCGTGCCCAGTAGTCTGTTTGTGCCAGGACGTTGGAGAGTATATGCTGCAAAAAAGTATAGATGGAGTGACCCATCCCAGTTTGCTTTCTCACAAAAGTAGCAGGAAAGAGGGGAAATAGATTGTGATTCCTAGAGTGACAGACTCCTCTTGGCTTACTGCCGGCAACAACTTCGTCTTTTACTCTGGAACAGATTGCGAACCGAATCAAGCTAATCATGAAGTCAAATTCACTGTCATACTTTTCATGAACATTAGCCAGAAAATATAAAATAATTTGATCTTTGTATTCTCTTCCCTATACAAAAATGTTTTAATATATCATATTATACATGAAAAATTAATAAAATATAAAGTTTAAACCAGTCTGCTCAATATATTTTCATGCATTTATTTAGCAACTACTAGAAAATGTAGCATGTAGAAAGTACTGAAAAAAATTATACAACATGCTGTAAGAGACATATGATTGTTAATGTACCATGTCAAGATTGTAATAAAACATGAAGTACATCTTTGATTAAGGATATTAAATATAGCAATGGAAGTAATGTGTGGGAGTGAAAGAGCAATCATGGAGCCACTGAAATGACACAAGAAGATGTGGTTTTAGAATAAAAGCTTTTTGACACTTCCCTCTGAATTGAAAAAGTTCCTTTCAGCTTGACATTTTTCATGCTTTGTCTTAGGTCACAGCACTGGTTTTTAGTGGGAAGTTTTGAGGTAAGTTACCAGCTGTCACAACCTTGGTCAACCCTACTGGCACTCACCAGGCTTCTGTGTTTAGACCCACATGCTTGACTAATATGCTCTTAAACTCTCTTGGGTCTCTAGGTAGACTCCCCACACCAACTTTGATTTAGCATTTGGGATCTGAAAAAGTATCTAATTGTTACAGTTGGTGATAATTGTACACAGTAATTGAATCCCTCTCAGTGAATGTCTTAGGACTCTTCATCTTGAGCCAATAACAACCAGTCTGCTGCTGTCATCCATGTGTATACCTCAATACTTCAGTATCTTGAGGCTATCGAGGAATAATTCTATGCAGATCTTCACAGAATCTTGACCAACATTCCCATGATGACCAGACCATACAGATTTGCTCAGGAAGAGGATGCTGTTGGAGTTAGCCTTTCCTACCCCTTCTTTTATGATTAGTGCCATTCCAGAGATCTGACCCCATCAAGGGTCAAACTTTGGAGATAGGTAAGCACTTTTGCCACCTCAGTAGCTAACTTTCTCAAAACGCAAACATTGACAGTGAGGTGCAGCTTGGGATTCCCTGTGCAAGTGCTTACTTAGGGAAATTTCTCTGACATGTTTTCATGGACTGGGACCTATGGCAGGACTCCAAGATCCAGGTCTACAAGACAATTTTTGTTTCTACACTTTATGGATACAAAACCTAGGTGACGTATCAACAACACCTCAAGAGTCTGAAGAGATACCACCAACAATGCCTCCGTCAGATCCTTTGTGTCAAATGGCAAGATCATTGAACTAACGCCAGTATCCTGGCTGAAACTACTGTCACCAGCACTGAAGCAGTGATCTTCATGCACAAACTTCTCTTGTGTGGATGCCAGTCTCTCACCTCCCAAAAGAAATCCTCCACTCTTAGCTTGCCTATGGTCAGACATCCTGTTGTGCTCAGAGAAAATGCTACGAAGATGCACTGAAAGCTTATCTTAATAAAACTGATGTGGACATCACAAGCTGGGAGGAGCAAGCCACCATCTGACCCCAATAGCTTCATATCCTCCATCAGGGAATGGCCTGCTTCAAGGAGAAGCACTCTTCCCTCAAAGTTAGAAGGAAAGAGAGATCGAAGGAAAAAGAAGGAACTTTTTCCCAGCAAGCATCTGGCCTGCCATGAAATGTCTGTACCTACTGAAGGCGGACTTATAGCTCCAGGATCATATTCCTGAGTCACCTCAGTCAGAACTCATATGTAAATCCAAAGTAGAGATCATCCTCAAATTGAGGGTTCTCTAGTGAATGAATGGAATGAATGATTGAATGAATGGCATTTTCAGAGCATGAAATAAAGGATCAAAAAGAGGAAACAATCAGGAGAGTACTATATAAGCATCTGATGATATTCAAAGTCATACATTTTAAGTCAGAGTTATCTAAAGTAATCTGAAATATAAAGAATGTTGTAATTAGTACAGATGCTATTAATGTAGATTTGTTCCTTATTAAGGCAGCAGAAGGTGTATATAATTTTCAAACTAAATATACTAAATTTTAGATTATTGAAATAGGGTGGAGTTTTTAGCCAGTCTCAAGCAAAAGTAATTCAATAATTATCTATGGCAAAGTAAATCATAGAATCAGAGGATTGGAAGAAACCTCAGGAGGTCATTGAGTCCAACCCCTTTCCCCAAAGTAGGACCAACCCCAACTAAATCATCCCAGCAAGGGCTTTGTCAAGCTGGGACTTAAAAACCTCTAGGTTGGAGATTCCACCACATTCATAGGTAACCCATTCCAGTGCTTCACCACCCTCCTAGTGAAATAGTTTTTCTTAATATCCAATTTAGACCTCCCCCACTGCAACTTGAGACCATTGTTCCTCGTTCTGTCATCTGTCACCACTAAGAACAGCTTGTCTGTCTCCTTTTTGGAACCTCCCTTCAGGTAGTTAAAAGCTGCTATCAAATCCCCCCACAATCTTCTCTTCTGTAGACTGAAAAAGCCCAAATCCCCTCAGCCTCTCCTCATAAATTATGTGCTCCAGCCCCTTAATAATATTGTTGCCCTCCATTAGACCTTCTTCAATGCATCCAAATCCTTTCTTACGATAATAAAATCTGTAGATAGTTTCCATTTCAATATGTTTCAGGGTAGCAGATTGCCTCTTGCTTCTTCACTGGTTGTTTTGTTTTTAAAATAATCATTGTGGTAACTTAAATATCAAAGAAGAAGACATTAAAAAGATCCTGTTCTTGGGGTTAAGTTGAATATTCCTTCCATACAATCTGGTAATATAAAGTGAATCACATAAGCATTATGGTGCATTCATTCATACCGTGACCATGATAATTTCTAAACTGGCAGGTCCCCTCCAAACAAACAGATTTTGAGTTCATTCTACGTTGTTTAAACTTTGGAGCTTGGTATAACATGAAAAGTGTGATTGAAAATTTAATACAAACATTTGTGAAAATATTTCATCTGTTTTCCTCTATTGCTGCTACTACTTCCTCTACTGCCTCTTTTACATGTTGTAACCTTGTCAAGCTGAGTAGTACGACTGAAGCACCATAATCAGATGTAGGATTGTAAATTAATGCATGCCATAAATTTAATAGAAATATGTAAAAATTACCGCAAGAATTATAGAAACTTTTATGGTGATACTATATTATTGATATCAAAATATTTGAGAGGAGAGGATTCTTTATCCAAAATTCACTTTCTAAAATAGTATTTTTAAACCAGTGAGAACTAATTTTTTTGTTTTATTCTCCCATCTTAGGCAAGACCAATGGACTATCCAAAGGGCTACCTTGCTCACCAAATTCCAATATCATTTCACAAGCATTGGAACATTGATCCAGTGAAGGTATATTTCACATGGCTAGCACCAAAGATGGAAGATTCATTTACTGAAAAAAAACAGAGGCATATTAGGGAAGATTTATAATATATTAAAGATTTTAAATCTCAATAATGTACTGCAAATTAGTGAGAGGCAGACTGTACTGCAGTTTTGATGTTGTGTTGTACTACTTGTCTGCCATATTGCATAGAATACTTATTTTTCAGTCCAATACATGTTGCACTTGTTAGAAAAGGAAGAGGGACACAGCTTAATTGTGTGCGTGTGTATTGATGGCTTACTTTGGAAATACTTTTGAATTTTTAATCTTGTGACCATTGTATTTTAACATGTTTAATGTACAATATTTGTATATGTTCTTGTTTGGAATTTTTTGTCAAACACCAGCAATTCACATTTCTGTTTTCTTCATTATTTACTAGTTCCCTATTTAGGGGCCTAATTCTAGAAGGTAATAAATATGTACACAGCCCATTGATTTCAGATGAACTGCTGGGCTCTTGAAATCAGTCTGAATCAGGCCTTAAATAATGAAATGATAAGGAACTGTGACTGTTTTTCAATAAACAGTGGCCTGGAAAGAAAAAGTTATGTTCTGTACTTTGTATTGCTTTCAAATAGAGATGTTGCAGATACATGGGACAAATGACTCCCTTTTGAGTTTGATTTACTATTTCACCTTTGATCAGGTTAGTTTTTGTAAGAAATATTGCCTTAGGAAATCCAAAGGAAGGTCTGGGATTCTTTAACCCTGGAAGTCACCATGGTTCATTTAAAAACCTGGTGATACTTTCTCTCTTTGGCAAATACAAATGTTTGAGACTAAGAAATTTTTTAAAATCTAATGTTTAAATATTTATAATGTTCACATCACCATATTATCTAAGTGCCAAGCTAAAAATTAGTTTGTAACATCCATACATAACGTATATCCATACATATCTACAGTATATACAATACAAAAAAGTAATGTGACCTATATTAACACGCAAAGAGTGCTGCATACAGGTTGAACCTCCTAAATCCAGGATTCTCTGGTCCGGCAACATCTGTGGCCCAGCAAGCGCCCAGGAGTGCAAGCCAGTGGAGAGCCTCAGCTACACAGGGCAGCAGCGGGACTGGCAGGCTCAATCCCCAGGGAGCCCCGACCAGGTTGGAGCAGCAGTGGGACCAGCAAGCCCCATCCCTGGGAAGCCCTAGCCACGTGAGGCAGCAGTGGGGCAGCCAGGGAACCCCGTCCCCAGGAAGCTTGGCCAGGCATGGCAGCAGGGGGACCCCATCCCCCCATCCCCCAGAAGCCCCGACTGGGCGCAGCAGCAGGACAGCCAGCAGCTGGGGAGGCCTGTCCCTGGAGAGCCAGGAGTCAGCTGGCAGCAGTGTACCTAGCCCAAGTCCTATAGCAGCAGGGCTGGAGCCCAGTGGCACGTGGGCCAGAGCAGAGCCAGATGGAGGGAGGGGCAGTGCCCTGGGAGGCTGGTGGCAGGGGATCTTCCCTGATCCAGCAAATTTCCTCATACAGGATAGGTCAGGTCCCCAGGGTGCCAAATGAGGGAGGTCCAACCTGTCTTTTAATTTTTTTGTTTTTACGTATAATTCAGTTTTGTAACGATATTTGTATAAAATCTGGCTTTAGTGTGTTCTAAACTAATACTTAAATAGTAAAGCATTTTCCCCTTTTAAGACAACAGCATATGGTGTGTATATGGTGTTATCTGACTTTGTTTGCTATATTGTAACCAAATGCAGGGTTTTAAAGCCATATTAGTGAAACTGTTTATTTGTACATATTTTTAAAATATTTTCTGTAGTTCAGTACTTCAGTTCCAAAGTAATGCAATACTTAAATGAGGAAGTGATTTAGTAATCACTGAGAAGTATGCACATTTTGGTGAATGTAACTTGTGGATTTTAAGCATTTGAATAGTGATCACATTCATAGTGGTTTAAAATAATGTTCCAATAGATGCAACCAATGTAATATAACTTTTTCTTTCCACTACCAGTGCCTTAAATCAGTAGACATTTCTACTGATACCAGAGCTACATTTTTTTTGGTACTGTGGATGTTAATTAGGATTATTGTTTAGAACTGTGAGAGCCTAAAACTGAATAAAAACATACTTGTTTAAATTTTTGAGTGCATTGTTTCCATACTTCTTCAAAGACTAAATATACTTTGGAATGTTTAAACTCTTTTATCCAATACTGCTTGTGGTGAATACACTATTGGATGTTACAAAGTTAAACAGAGGTCAATGGCACCAAGAGAGTTCAAATAGTGTTATTTTTTCTGGTTCCTGACCTCTCTCCCCAGTCCACATTGGTTGCCCGTGTCTCTTTCTAGGCAAATGGTAAAGGCAGATTACATATTCTCGGTTGAGTGCCCAGCACACAGGGATAATGGTCCCCAACTCGGACTCCTAGGTGCTATCACAAAATAAATATACAGTATTACCAGGCTGGTTTGAGGGCACTATTACCGAACGATCTAAAAACCCCTAAAACTACACCTAAGAAAATACGATACTCCAATGCACACGCTCCTCCATGAGAGAACAAACACATGACAAATGTTAGTTCAGTTGCTAAACGTACTAGTGGAAGGCACTCAGATACCATGGTGATGAGCATGGTATAGGAACCTGAACAGAATGGAATAGTAAGCCAGAGAGAACTTCTCCCTCCAGAACTGAAACATAGCAGCTTTTAAAAGACCCTGCCTTATCATTACCCAAGTTTTTAATTACAATTCTTCGGGATGGCTGTGAGTATCGTGAAAGCTGAAACTGGAGAGGGGTGGGGCAAAGACAGGAACTATTGATGCAGTCATGAACCTTCAGATGTTAAGATCAAACAGCTAGACAAGTTGGAACAAGAGCTGACTTTTAAAGTAGCTGGTATTGAAACTACGAGTTGAACCTTTCTAATCTGGCAACATCGGTGGCCTGGCATGATTTTAAATTAGCTGGATGTCCACCTATCCTGGCTGTATCCATGTTTCCCATGGTCTCATAAAGTTTGTTTACCGGCACTAGTCCTGGTTCTCAGTGTTCTGTGCTCTTAGCTCTAATCTACCCTAAATGTCTTCTAAGAGCCCAATAAACAGTGGGAGTGTTGGTAATGCTGCAAGATAATATTGACCTTCCATGGTTTGTCAAATTCTCTGGTTCTCCAGCGGTTAAGTCCTGAGGGTGCTGGACTAGAGAGATTTAACCTGTACACTGTACAGATATAATTTCAGTGTACGAGAGAACAGGGGGTTCTCCTGAGGAGCTAAGAGAAGTTACATTAGACCATTCCAGACTACTGTACCTCTTCTTGGGAGCCTGATTTGTCATATACCACAGGTGTCATCTCACTTAAAAATTACTTGTTACAAAATTAGACATAAAATTACAAAAGTGACAAGCTCACTATTACTGAAAAATTGCTTGTAGTCTCATTTTACCATATAATTATAAACCAATTTGAATATAAATATTGTACTTACATTTCAGTATATAGTATAGAGAGCAGCATAAACAAGTCATTGTATGAAATTTTAGTTTGCATAGACTTCAATAGTGTTTTTTTTATGTAGCCTATTGTAAAACTAAGCAAATAATCAGATGAGTTGACATACTCCCTGGAAGACCTTGTATCCGTTATTGAAAACTAGTATATTAGACAATGGGATGGGGAGGGAGCCCTGAGAACAGAGAAGAAAGATTTCTTTCCTCCATTGATTGTAATTCTATGCAGATCAGATGAGATCATCTTAATGATCCTTTCTCTGGGTTGGTAAATTACTTTTGAATGCCTCAGAAGGTTGCAGTTGACAAAACACAGAACCCTGTCAGGAAATTAGCCCTAGAAACATCATTATCAACTATCAGCAAAACGTGTCTCTCAAGAGAAAAGCAAGAGCACAAAAAGCACCTTTTCTCCAAGAAGAAAAAAATCAAGACTTTCAAGATTTTTCAATTGTTATTTTGAAGCAAAGAAGAGAAACGGGAAGACAAAGAAAGCTTGATCAAAATGAGGCTTTCAATTTAAATTTTAAATTCACTTTTATCAAGCAAAGCGAGGCTGTTACTGTCTGAAATCTAACTGCTTGCTACTTGGAGCTTGATCCATACCTTTTCCAGTGGTGAAGCACTTGAAGAAAAGGAGGTTATTTAACACTGTTGTGTAACTAGAATTCTTTGAGATGTGGGATCCCTATCGATATTACAATAGACTCCCTCCATCCTTCCCCTCTGCCCCAGATCATGATTTCAATTATGGTAAAAAAGGAACTGGAGAGGCTGGTTCACACCCAGCCTTTATACCCTCTGATCAGGGCACAAAGAAGCAAACAGGGCTGGTGCAAATCAATGGGCACAGCTGAAAATGATTCTGACATTAGGCCTGTGGTGTGCATTTATATACCACAGTGAAATCTAGGTAGGGAGCACACCTTAAAAAACTCCAGTTAAACTAGGGAAGTAACCTTTTCTGCTTAATCATGCTCAGGCAGGAGTTGGGAGAAAAAGGAGAGATAAGGATGACTTTAAATTATCCTTTCACTCCTGGGCTGGTCTACGCTGTTTGTTTTTTGCAGAAGAGGAAATGCAAATGAAGAGGAAGAGGTTTTTGCGGAAAATCTGCAGTATAGTTGGGGCCATTTTTCTGAAAAAAACCCTTTTGCGCAAGATCCTATAAACCTTATTTTTTGAGGAATAAGGGATCTTGCACAAAAGGGTTTTTTCCCAAAAAATGGCCCTGTCTACACTGTGGGGTTTTTTGCAAAAACCTCTTCCGCAAAAAGGATCAGAAGAGAATGTGCAAATGAGAGTAGGAGATTTGCAAATGAGTGCTTCATTTGCATTTCCTCTTCTGCAAAAAAAAGTGTAGACGTAGCCCTGATTACTTTATGGCTACTCTGATTTATTCACAGATGCCCATGACCCAAGGGGGTCATTTCAACAGCCAGAGATTTCCAGAATGCAGAGATACCCTGGACATGTATGCTTTCTCCTGTAGATGCCCTTTACAGGTGCTGTAGAGTAATTGGGAGATATGGTTACAGAAAAATCATTTGATCCTCAAGGCTTCAGGAAGACATTACAGCAATAACTGAGCAAATATAATTCTTTGGGCAATTTTGGACAATTAAAAGGATTTAGTCACAGGACAGAAGAGATTTTTAGCTCAGTTAAATATAGAAGATCAGAGTTTTCAGCAACATTGAATAACACAGGGTGGCTACGTCTACACTGGCATGATTTTCCGGAAATGCTTTTAATGAAAAAGTTTTCCGTTAAAAGCATTTTCGGAAAAGCGTGTCTAGATTGGCAGGATGCTTTTCCGCAAAAGCACTTTTTGCAGAAAAGCGTCCATTTTCGCGATCGGGGCTTTTTTGTGGAAAACAAATCTCTGCTGTCTACACTGGCCCTTTTGCGCAAAAGTTTTTCAGAAAAAGACTTTTGCCCGAACGGAAGCAGAATAGTATTTCCGCAAAAGCACTGACAATCTTACATGAGATCGTCAGTGCTTTTGCAGAAATTCAAGCAGCCAGTATAGCCAGCTGACAAATTTTTGTGCAAAAGTGGCCGCTTTTGTGCAAAATCTTGCCGCAAAAGTGGAATGGCAGGTTCAGAGTGAGGCCAAAGCTATGAGGTAGTCTCTAGTTTATTTAAAAAATTATTGGTGAAGTGATAAGTGGTTTTCCTTTTTTAGATATACTGTAGGTATCTTCATATATATCTGTGTATATACCTATAAAGGAGGTATCTGAAAATGAGACAGGCATAGGAGAGTTAATTCTTGACATCGCATCTCTGTTATCAGCATTCACAAATGACCTTTGATGGTTTTGGCTTGATGGTTGACAGTTTTTCAAACTCATCCCTGCAGAGCATTGTTCTGAATCAAATCCTTAAATAATCAGCTTCTCCAAAGGTCATGGGTGTATAAAATTCATGTTTGTGAGTTTCATTTGCAGAATAAAGATTGTAAAGATAATAGATTTAAACACTGCAATACTCTCTACACACTCATGACCTTGGCTCAGAAGGCAAAACAGTGCGGTGATTGATGATGTGCTTAGATACCAATTGCTAGGCTCCTTAGGAATACTTACATGGATACAGATGTTCAACACAACTTTTATATTAGTTCAAGATAACTTTTAAATGATGGCTGTGAAGTGAAAAACTCATTTTTTCCTATTTTTAATCACAAATTAGAATAATAGAACACTAGAGCAGGAAGAGACCTTGAGAAGTCAAGTCCAGTCCCCTGCCGTCACAGCAAGACCAAGCACCATCTAGATCAGGCATGTGAAACAGGCGTCTGGAGGGCCGCATGCACCTGATCGAAGTATTAGTGGCCCGCCTCTATATTTCATAAAAGAATAAAGTGCAGCCCTTTGGCTGCTCAGAGCCCGTGGCCGAGTGTAGATCACAGCCAGCCGGCCGCTCTGCGCACAGCACCGTAGCGACTGCTCATGGCCAGCTGGGCCACTCTGCACATAGCACCCAGCACATGCTCATGGCTGGCTGGCACACTCGGCACTCCAGCACATGCTCACGGCCAGCTGGGTCCGCTCCAGCACATGTTCACAGCTGGCTGGGCTGCTCTGCATAGGCATCAAGCGCCTGCTCACAGGTGGCTGCTGTGCTCATGCCTCCCCAGCGCCTGAGGAAGAAATGTGTGGTGACAGCGACACTGGCTCTGGGACCCAGGCATTAGGTATGGGGAGGAGGGGCTGGGAGTGCCTGGGTCTGGGGGAGGGAGGAGGTGTTGGGTTAGAGGGGGATTCTCCGGGGGAGCAGAAGGGAATTGGGTTAGAATGAGGATATGGGAGTGCCTGGCTCTGGGGAAGTGGAGGGGGATATTTTGGTAATGTTTTGGTTTTTATTTATTTATTTCCAAATAAAATCACAAAATGTATATTAATTTTATATCAAACATATGTCACATTTTTAAACCATTTTCAAGGGCATCTAGCTGCAAAACCACTGGATGTGGGGACTGGCTATGTATGACTCCTTAGCCACACTCCTCCCTCTGGTTCAGTTGCCTTTGGTCTGCTGTCTACTGATAGCCACTGTTAAGTTTGTTGGGCTGCTCTGTGGTTCCCAGTGTAATTTTCTGTGTTTTAAGCA